CCACATGGTTGACACCCCTGGCTTAGAGGGAGCATTGCCTGTGAGGTAGCTGGGGCTGAGAGAGTTCTGAGGGAACTGTGACTGACCCAAGGTCACCCAACTGCCTTCATGGGGAGGAGTGGGGAATCAAACCCAGTTCTCCAGGTTAGATTCCGCCACTCTTAACCACTATACCAAGCTGGCTCTCAAGGGCTGTAGGAGTCAGGGGCACTGACGTGGAGGAATGTAAAATTCATGTCTTTCTGGCACAAACAGCAACCACATCCCTGTCTATCTGTCCTAATTCAGAAGCTACATCTTCTGCCCAAGTTCTAGGGTTGCCAACTGCCTGGAGAAAAAGTGTCCTGTCCCTTTAAAAGGGTCGTCATTTATCAGGTCCTATTATTTTCCTCTAAGCCCTGAACAGATTCAGCTGTCTGTTTCTACATATTAAGCCCCTATGAAAGGGACAGAACATGTTTCGCCAGGGCTGTTGGCAACCCTAAGTGCAACTGGCATGTTCCGCTTTAAGCTGTTTTCACACACGTTGGACAAGGCACTCTCAATACCCTATAGCACTTGTTTGCAATCGATTGCTACCACGTCTTGAGAGCGCCTTATCCAAAGATATGTGAAAGCAGCCTTAGTAGAATTCTATATGCATGGTGCATTGATAGAGTTGCCAGCGGTTTATGTCCTTTTAAAGAGAGACTTAGTGGGATGTTATTTGCTAAGTGATGCTATTTGCCTCCAGGCCATGAAAGGCTTCAGCTGCCTGTTCCTACTTTCTAGGCCTCTGTTAAAGGGACAGGACACTTTCCTCTCCAGGGCTGTCAATCCCACCTGGAAACAGCAGTGGCTACAGACTGGAAAGCATTCTCTGCTTCATTCCCTGCTTTTGCCAGGCACCATTCCCCGAGCTCACCTTTTGAGTCACGAGGTCTGAGCCTGAGTCTACTAAGAACTGAAAGGTAGGCCAGGCTTAGAGTTGCCAGCTCCTGGTTGGGAAATACCTGGATTTTTGGGGGGTGGAGCCTCAGGAGGGCGGGGTTTGGGACATAATGCCATAGAGTCCAGCTTCCAAAGTGGCCATTTTCTCCAGATGAATTGATCTCTGTCATCTGAAGATGAGTTGAATCCTCCAGCTACCACCTGGAGGCTGGCGACCCTAGCCAGGCTTATGAAGAGCCTGGCAGGTGAATAGATCTGATGCAAAGGGAAACTCTATAAGTTGCATGAAAGAAGGGAGTTGGGCAAGTGAGCCTTCTCATACGGGTCGGAGGAAGCTGCATCTTTCAGTTCCTGTTGTTTAGATATTTACACCCTGCTTTTCTCCACAAGGGAGACCCAAAACTGCTCACCTCACCATTCATCCTCTCACCAACACTGCCAGTTAAGGTTGCCAGCCCCCAGGTGGGGCCTGGGGATCTCCCGCTTTTACAACTGGTCCCCAGCCAACAGAGATTAGCTCCCCTGGAGAAAATTGATGCTTTGAAGGGTGGACTCTCTGGCATTGTATTATGTTGAGGCCTCTCTCCTCTTCAAACCACGCCCTCTCCTGGCTCCACCCCCAAAGTCTCCAGGTATTTTCCAACCCAGACTTGGCAACCCTACTGACAGTTAGGCAGGGCAGAAGGAAAGCGAGGAGGCTAGCCCCAGGTCACCTAATTAGCTTCCTTGACAGAGTACAGATCTGAAGCAGTTTCTCATGCAAAACTGCAATCACTACCTAGGGTTACCAACTGGGCTGGATAAAAGTGTCCTGTCCCTTTAAGAGGATTAATAGGCTTTTCCAGGTGATATTTACTGCCATGCCAAGAAAAGCTTTAGCTGCCCATTCTTACACATTAAGCTTTATTCAAGGGACAGGAACTGTTTTCTCCCCCCCCACACCCCTATTTATTTGTTTAGGAAGAGAGTGGGGATACAGGAAAGAAAAGGAAAAGAGGGTTATACCAGATACTTGTGTTTGTCAAGGACAATCATGTAATACAAAATGTATAAGACAGAAGGTATTTTCCCTTCCATCCCCTTCTTTATAATTTTTAAGGTATAACTATAATATAGAATTTGTATATTATCTTGTATTCTACATTTTAAGTTTAAGTTTCAGACT